CCACGGACCGATTATTAATTATTATAAAATACTGATATTCTTGTGGAAATTCACGTCTTTGTTAAGATTTAAGTATTTAAGGCTCGATTACACCACTTTGACTTTAAGTGAGATTTAAAACTCTCTTTCTCCCTTTTTAAAGCCGAAAGAGAAAGATAAAGTTTTAAGCCTCGCTTAAAGTCAAAGTAATGTGCAATCGAAACCCAAGAATAAGAAATTGATTATATATTATTAATTTTATGATTTACTAGTTTCATAGATAATGTATATATGTTTAAAACTTAATAATACTGGATATTTATTTAAAACTGTAATTTTAATGTCTGAGTTTGATTATCAATAGAGATTGATAATTAAACTCAGACAAATCACAGTTTTAAATAAATATAGAATTTTATTGAATTTTATAACTGTTATACGATTGGATAATTGATGACAGTAATTGAGTTTTATAACCTGAGAAAAAAGTTGTAATTCTGCGGCAATATATAAGATACTATAGTATTATGAGTATGCATAATTATTTACGCGGCATTTATATGATAAAAAAATCATGAATTTAATTATGTATTATTTAAATATTTCTGTTAATAATTAACAAATTTATATCAATTGTCAATAATGATATCGTTCTTCAATTATACTGGACTTTCCGGACTTTATTGATCAATCTCTATTGATAATCAAACTCAGTCATAAAAATTTATCAAGGTCATCTCTGTTAATAGTCATATCTCGTTGGTAATTAACAAAGTAGATTTAAGAATTATGTAGCTATGTATTGGCGCGATTTACATTAAATCCAAAAATTTGAAAAGAACAATTTTAACAATTTTATTTTTAAAAAAAGCAATTTTGATGGCAATTTTATAAAAAAAAAACAATTTTAATAGCAACTTTATAAAAAAATTGAAAGAATTGCTTTATAAAAAATAGTTACTTGACATGCTTTTTAATTGGGTTTTATAAGTGTTTAAAGAAAGATTCTGAAAATATTTGTAAGAAAAAAATTAATAAAATTTTATGACTATTATGCATAAACAATAATTATAGAAATAAATATGAAAACATTTGTGCTATCATCTTTTACTGAAATACCAATTTTAAAAGTTATTAAATATATTATTTTTTTTTTCTCTTTTTAAGTGAATAATTATAAAATAATAATTAGAAAATACGTAGCTACGTATTGGTGATAGATCGCGTTCGGATACAGACCGTTTTTTGCATATGCGCAGTGAATTCATTAGTGAAGTACCGGCGATATTTTGCGCGATTTAAACATTATTGAAAATAAATGGAAAGTACTATAAATTTTGTTTATCAGTTAAATGCGTCGCGGCGCCATGTCCTGTACTTGCCATATTCTATTATATAAATGAAAAGTGAACGCTATTAATATGATAAAGCAGCTTTGTTTCTTGCATGATTAATTTCATGCGCCAAAAGCGCCAAATGCAACAGTGTTACCTCATGATTTTCGATCGAACGAGTATTGTGAAATATATGGTTCAAACAGTGTATGCATACATAGGCTGTGATCAAAGTCTCGCTACAAATGCTTTGAAGCATTTGATGGATCAATTAGAAAAAAAAATTTTACAAACTGACCAATTAAAAAACGCTTCAAAGCGTTTACAACATCGCGTTGACTACACTCCGAATCTTCTGTATGTATATTACGCGATGGTCAATTATTGCAGTAAATGATAACAAATGCAAAGTTGTAGGTTCGCTTACCAATTAAATGATTAACATTCCCACTCGTGACACTTGTTCTGTAGCTGATGAATGTTCGCCGCGTCATGTTCTGTAAATGAGAAATAAACGCTATTAATATGGCGAAACAGCTTTATTTCCCGCACTATCAATTTCGCACGTCAAGTGCGACGCGACAGCAAGCGGCGCGACGCAATGCGTGTCCTATTCTTGGCGAATACCGAATCTTATATATAATTACATGATAATTAAATATTGAAATGAGCGACGAATATAAATTTAATATAAATTTCAATTACCTCTTGATCGAATCGCGTTGCTATTTGTTTCAGAACCGGTTTATCTCGTATTCGCCGCATTTCGAAAATATGACGTAAATGTAATCAAACATGGCGAAGCGGCTCATCTCACACACGATCAACTTCGCGCGCCAAGAATGACGCGACAGCGTGGCAGCAATTAATGTGCGTCCTGCTTTTGGTGAATACCGAATCTACAATTACGCGTTTTGAAATATCATAATAAGCGACAAAACAAATTTAACGTTATCTTGATCGATTCGCGTTGCCACTCTCGGAGCCGATCCATTCCGTGTTCGCCGTCGGCGTCACTTTTGGCACATGAAGTTGATCGCGATTCGCGCGCTGGAGACGAAGCGTAAATCGCGATCAACTTCATGCGCCAAATACGACGTGATGCAACGGCGCGGTCGCGCTAAGTATACGTCTTAATTTTCGGCTGAAATATTGCGAAATACGCATGCAACTGAATTATCATTGTATAAATATTGACTATTACGCGTATATTTAAATGTTATGGGGAACTGAATATATGGCGTGGCATAATATTATTTAGATTGCAAACGATTTAAATATTTTATTCATTCTCTATATAAATCACAATGTTAATAAAGCACACAAAAGAATTATGATATATATTTATACACTCGAAAACGATTTTTAAATCTCACTTTATATGAATCAAAATTGAAAGTATTTTACACTAATATAAAGATTTAGTGCGCGTAACACGTATAGATATTAATAATATAAAATTGAATTGTTTTTATAACACATAAGACATTTTAAAAGAATGATTTAAGAGCTCTGGAGTCAAAACGAAAAATCATCGATGCAAAAAAATTCAATGTTGATAAGATTTCGGGGAAAGTGTTGATATGCATCTAAGCGACGCTTATCAATACTTAAGTATTATATACTCCTAAAATCACTCCTTATTCACGTTGAATTTTTTTACGGTTTTGCGTTTTGGCTCCGGAGCTCAAATTGGATAGAACAACTATTTTAAGGATTTTAATAATCTAACTGAAGGTAGCATGTCATAATATATAGTATGCATACTTAATATTGTGAATTACGAATAATAAAGATTATAAAGGCATTGTTGATTAAATAAGGTCATGATTAAACATTTTGCAACAATAATGGACAAAAATAAAACTAATAACGAATTTGATTGGGCTCACTCATTGCGCACTGATGCACCATCGTATATTCACAAAATAACGTAAATATATATTATATTAGGTGTTGGAATTAATTCGTAGCGTTTTACAAGTGATGGGAAGTACTTTCATTAATGTATTTTTTAATGCTCATGTGAAATAAATAACATTCTTTCATTAAAAAACGCTACGAATTAATTCCAACACCTAATAAATAAACATAGAATTAAATCGATTAAATTGTGAAATACTCAATACATTTTATTGTACTGTTAGATAAAATATGTATTTTATAATTCGAAATATTTGCATTTTATTTTTATACTCAAATTAAATTAATATACAACAGCTTTAATATGCATCAGTGCTTCCAATCAAATTCGTCATAATGCTTATTATACGAAGAAAAAGAAAATGCTTTTAGAGGATTTTATTTCCGAAAAAAAAAACTATCAAAAATACTTATCGATACGTCAGATTTAAATTAAAAGCTATCGAAAGTAAAAAGACCGGTGTGATGAATTAAATTTGGAGATTTGCTTGGTTATAAAGGCAACATCTCCTCCTCAAGGAAACTCATAACCTCTCTTGAGAAAAAGAAGCTAATAAAGCTCCTTATTTGATCGAGGAGGGTTTATGAAACATGAAATGAGGAACAAGGAATTTTCATTTCTCAAGGAAGGACTATGAATATGGGTATAAGGCTGCCAACTGTGAAATGCTAAATACGAGGCGATATTTACAGTCCGTTTTTAAAATACTGGCCATAGTCGATTCTTACATTTAAGATGGTCTTAAGTACAGTCTTAAGTCAATCCGAGGACTGTATTAATCTTAAGGCATTATTTAAGATAGTTTTAAAATAAAAACGGATTGTGAATATCGCCCCGTATTTAACGTTTCACAGTTGGCAGTTTTAGTCTCTTATCGACATTCATATACAGCAAACGAGAATGGATTGAAATGAATTGAACTGGATTCAGATTTTCAGAAAATTGATTCACAAATATTAAAATGAATAGTTTTCAATTCTGAATGCATTTTTTTCATTTATAGGAATTGCATGGAGCATATCTCTATGTCTTTCAATCTAAAAATAATATTATTAATAATAATATAAATAGCTTTTTCTGTGAAATACAAATAAACACATTGTGAATACTATTCAATTCAAAATTTTGAATAGGAAATGCAGTTTTTTCAATCCAATTGCATCCAATTGAATTTAATTGAATCCAATTGAATCCAATTAAATCCAAAAAAAAGTATTCGCTATTATATATTGGGTCATCTAAAAAGACATGTGTTGATGGTCATATATCTAGTGACAAAGTACCGCGGATACTTTTTAGATGACCCAATATATAAGAATATATGCATTCAGATAGAAAAAAAATTTCAATCCATTTTAATCCATTCTCGTTTGCTGGGTAGACAGAAATGGCGGAGATTCAGCGAGAGGTGCTTGCAAATTGCACACACCATGTTATTCCTTCCACCATGCTTAAAAGCATGGTAAAGTCTCATTTTAAAGAAAAAAAGACAGAAACAAAGAGAGTTTTAAATCTCGCTTAAAATCAAAGTAACATTGGTGCAATCGAACCTAAATGATCCACAAATTACATAATTTATATTATACTTGCTAGAGCATTTTAGCATGTCATTTAGCACTGCAATTAACATGGATTCGCATCACATCTATTTTCGCACATCTATCGATCTATTTTATCAACATCTATTTTATCATCAATACATAATTACGTAGTTCTCAAATAAAAAATAGATGTACTGGCGCTAGTGTATGGGGCGATTCGACGTCTACGTAAAACATCAGGATGGCCCCTCAGCTTAAATCAAAGGTTTTCAATGATTCTCAAGTTTTTCTGGTTATCCTGGTGAACCTGATGATGCCGGTCATCGTTGTTGCACGAGTCAAGAGCCACGAATAGTTGCGAATCCGTTGATGGGCTTATTTCGTCCTTTAGGTCAACAAAACCGTGCGAGAACCGCATTTCTGTTTTGAGCCGATCAATTTTCTCGGTGGAAATATGTGGCTAGAGGAGTGCGATAGTTTTGCTGAGCTATGCCGGGGATATTTGCCATACTATCTTCTAATAGTTTTGCCGATCTTTATCATCATCTCCCCGGTCAACCCGGTGACCGCCTCCCATGAGTTCCCCGTGTTTCGTATGCATCAGTACGATTTGCATGGAATTCCACACGGTAAGATCAGGTTTATCAGTGACAATCTATCCAAAGATCGACATCTTGATTCTCAAAGAAACGCACTTGTGATAATACTTATTAGGTTGCCGAAGCGCACCCATTTCCTTGGAGGCGAGGTCTCTAGCTGGTTGGAGTACCTCTAGACACTGCGTCGTTGCGAAAATACTGGATATTACACCGTCTGTCTTCCAGTCCATTAGAAGTAAAGCTGGTGCGTTAGTGATTGTTTTACCCAAGAAAATAAGTGAACTTACGACGGAGGAAAAGCAAGTTAGTAATAGGATTAACACTTTACTGTATTCTAAAATATTTATTCTAAAATAAGGATGTAAATAGGCTAAGCGCTTTTTTTTTTTTTGAAACAGTTCTAAGGTCTCTTCTTTTTAGTTAAACTTCTTGCACAGTTCATCTTTTTCTTTCTAATGTGAAATTACAAAAAGCTTACCTAAAGAGAACAGGCTTATAGTATATATGTACTAGTGCAATAAGGTGAAATAAAACGAATATAGTCTTTCATTTCACTTATTAGACCAATGTAAAGGTTCAGAACTTTGAAAAAAACAGTCCTTATAAATTTTTGTTTATTATAAGTTAAAGTAAATTAATGATATATTAATTTTAGCACATTATGAGTCTAGAAGAGTCGATGATGTATGGTTCTGAGACGATGATACCAGTGTACTTTGCACCATGGCATTCAGAGCTTCAAATAATTTTAGATGATATCGCGGGTGGTTTTATCACGGATGAAAAGACTGGTGCAGCAGCAGAAGCTATATACAATTCAATTTCAGCTAGTGGTTACCAAGTGGTAGTAACCACTGGACAGGCACTTCCTAAAACAGAAGTTAAAGTTGCCACGTTGCATGGTAAATTAACTGGAACTGGTACCGAAGAGAAATTACCTACCATAGCAATAGTGACATATTACGATAGTACTGGTGTGGCACCTGTAAGTAAAATGAGCCTATCACTATTTCTTATATCATTTATGATATTTGTAAGTTTGATAGATACGCTTATGTATATGGTGCTATTGTAGGAATTGTCATTCGGCGCGGACAGTAATGCTTCCGGTGTAGCTATGCTACTTGAAATAGCGAGATTGTTCGCTGCTTTATACTCCACTGGTCGCACAAGACCACAATATAATCTCGTTTTTATCACAACTGGAGCTGGTAAATTAAATTATCAAGGTAGTAAGAAATGGTTGGAAGATCAATTGGATGGGGTTGAAGGTTCTGTTATACAGGTAATCTAATTATAATATTAATGTTTATGAATAATTTTTTCATTTATTTTTATTAATATTATAATTATAAATTGTCTATAATATAATTAATATTTGAAAACATTTTTAGGATGCAGCTTATGTAATATGCCTTGATACAGTTTCCGCTAGCAATAATTTATATGTGCATGTGTCGAAACCACCTAAGGAGAATTCATCGGGTGGTTTGTTTTACAAAGAACTTAAAACCGTTTCGCAATCATTCAACACTGTCAATGTTGATGGTGTGCATAAAAAGATAAATCTTGCAGAAGAGACATTAGCTTGGGAACACGAAAGATACAGCATTCGAAGATTGCCAGCTGCTACTTTATCTACATTAAAAAGTCATGAAGATTCAACTCGAACTACTATATTAGATGTCTCTAAAGAAGGACAAGTAGACAGATTATATAAGCATACCCAAATTGTATCGGAAGCATTGGCACGTCATATATATAACTTAAGTTCTAGTCAAATATTTGCTGGTCCATTGGTACGTTTATTACTATAAACTTTTTATGTTCTTGGCCATATTATCTTTTTATTTTAAATATAAAAAAAGAAAATATTGGAATATTAAAAAAATATTATAATTAAAAAATAATTGCATAATTCTAATTTGTCACGCACGCACGCACACATGCACACACACACACATGCACACACACACACACACATTTATTTAATTAAGTACTATTGAATATTATTTATGCAATGTATGCTTCCAAATACAATAATTGATCTAACTTTCTTTACAGGATGTATCAAAAGAATCACTCTCTTTATGGTTTAATTATTTTGCTTCTCAACCAAGAGCAGCATCATTATTAGCAGATAAAAATAATTTACTAGTTGGTACTTTGAAAGAAGCAATGGCGAGATATTTAGGGGATGTGAAAGTTACTTTTCACACTCCTGATAAACAAGATCCAGAATTCGTGTTTTATGATGTTACAAAAGCAACTCTGAATGTATATAGGTAAAGTATATTTTTTATATATATATTTATTCATAATACAATTTATGACACTGATTATGTAATATGTAATCGATTTTTATTTTATTTGCAGTGTGAAACCAGCTGTATTTGATCTCTTTCTTACTATCGGCATAAGTTTATACTTGGGAATATTGTACATGATTGTGCATAATTTTCCACATGCTTATGCTCTGGCAACGCGACTTTCAGCAAAGAGCAAGACGACGTGAATCTTATTTTGTATTTACAAACATAGAAACCTGAGCCTTTTTTGAATATCAATATCCAGTAATGTTGAATAATCGATTTATATTGTAAGAAAGTTGACTAGTTCTTAAATAATTTCCTCTAAAATATTCCAAATCTATTATATACTTATGCGTATTTATAAGTATTTGCTAGGGGAAAGTTAAATCCAAGTATATATTTATTTGTATGTGTGTATATATTTATTTCATGAATTTTTAATTATAAAATAACTATAGGGATTACGCGTATTTATAATTTTTGACTATAAACACATGGACTGCTAGTCCCTCATTTTTGCTATAGGAAATGCATACTCTATCGAACTGAAGTTAGCTGAAGATTGTTAGAATCCGCCTCGAACAGTAAAAACTGGCAAGTTCAAATGCGAAAATTGCCATACTTTTTGTAATAAGCACCGTTACTAACTGTTCTTCTTTTTCTTCTTTTGTTTTCCCCTTATTTGGTTTTCCGACTCAAGTACAGAGAGTCACAGTACCATGCAAATTAATGGATTCTAAAATCCGTTGAATAGTCTTCTCGAGAAGCAGAGTTTACTGACCGTTACACATCGTATACGTGCATATACTATAATCAAAGCTTTCCACTCCCGCAGAAAATTACTGTCGGGACAGAGCCTAATCTTCCAGCTTGGCGACACATCTGAAGTTGGCAGTCCATGTGTTTATAGTCAGAGTTTATAATGCTCATAGCACGTCGCCTTTATTAACTACTTCCAGCAATAACAAACACGGAGAAAAATTAGATTTTCTTAATAATTAAGTGATGTGAAAAGTGATAAAAACAGTTATGAACGATCAAATAATGAAATATTAGACTACAAGTGAGAATGTAAAAATTGGAAAATTTGTTATATGGAAATACATAAATAGTTATAAAATCTAATGTAACATATCTAATAACTTAAGGTCTGTATTTATCAAAGATATGATAGTAACCATTGATTTTAACGTTCTAGAACATGAACTAGAAATAAACTCAATTTTTGTTTTAATGATTAAAAAAAAATGAAATTTTTTGATCTCATGTATTTAATTTATTGTTGTATATATAAAAACATATTTATAGAAAAAGAGAATATAGGAAAAACCTAATTTCATGACAGATAAATATATGTATACCATATATATTAAAAAAATATATACACATATATATAAGTACAACCAAGAAGAATAGAAAGTATTTCAACTTCAATTTCAATTAACTTTAATTTTAATGGAATGTTGAAGAAGGGAATGGGATGTATAAAAATTTTCTTTGTATTTTTAAAATTTGTACAAAGTTTACTTTTTGGTTGATCTGTAGTATAGAAATAAAATTTTCAACTTTATAATTTACTTTTAAATTCTTCCTATTAATACAAATAATTTACGAACTGCGACAATAATTTTTTTATTTTAATCTTTAACATGAAATGAATGTTTTGACCAAGTATTATTCATAATCACTTCTGCTATGGAATTTAGAATATGCGATATGTTAAAGAATGGAGTACTTAATATGTGTTATTATAAATTATAATAAAATACTATAAATCAAATAAATAAATATAAAAATATAAATGGGAATTAAGAAATTTAAAATTATTTCAGAACGATAAGAATGAAATATATATAAATTGAGAATAAATTTTCTGTTTAAAATTTTTTATTTTATATATATATATAATATGTATGTATATACATATGTGTATATGTTATATATGCCCTGTTAATATATCGATTTATTCCTTAGAGCTAAAAAGAGATAAAAAAATCACAAAATATTTAAATTCGATGAAAATTTTGCGTTTCTTAGAATCTGCAATTTTATAGTATTAGATCGCTATTTCATTTGTTGTGTTTTTGTCATGATAAATTTTTCAAACCTATTGATTGGCTATAGGATGGATAGATCCGAGGACTTCTCTGTCCTAGACACATTTGTCGTACGACAAAAACACAAATGAAACAGCACTCTGATATAAGATATATTTTTAAAAAATTTACTGATAAAATCACATTGGAAAATAATAATTGAAATTATTTAATAGATCCATTTAGAGTTCTTTATTTTTGTGTCATTATCTATAAAGATATTTATACTAGTCTACTGAAAAAAGCACTGCGTCTTGTTTAATTCATTCAGATATCCTTGACGTGATATGTTACTGCATCTGAAGTGTAAAACCGGTTTGACTATTTTAAGACCATTCTATGGCATTTTTTCATCTCTAAATGTATCAGTTACCTGCCTGTATCTAAGTCCAAAGTACTGGATTCTGCGTGTAATATGTACAACAATTTTAAAAGTACGTTTATTTTTATAACTCATTTGCAAAATAGTATTTAAAACAATTGTTTAACTTAATTTTTCGTGTAGTTTTCAAATTTCACGATGTTAGACAGAGTACTAGCAGGACAAAGAGTTCTTTAGTTGCTTGCATAGAATCTGAATTAGCAACTATAGTCAAAGCTGGTACATGGAAAAATGAGCGCATAATTGCTTCGCCTCAACGAAAGGAAATCATATTATCAAATGGGAAGAAAGCGCTCAATTTTTGTGCCAATAATTATCTGGGTCTAGCGGTAAGACGGAAATAATGAATCAATACTAGCAATTAACACTAACAAACGCGCAATATGAAATTTTGCTAAATAAAAGAATATAAATGTATTTTTATAAAAAATGGATGACGCGAGATTTCATTAAATGTAGGATAATAAGGATGTCATCAATGCAGCAAAGATTGCATTGGATAAATATGGTGCTGGTTTGAGTTCCGTAAGATTTATATGCGGGACACAGGAGATACATGTCGAATTAGAGAAAAAAATTGCCAAATTTCATGGCAGGGAGGATACGATTCTTTATGCGTCTTGCTTTGACGCGAATGCTGGTATCTTTGAAACTTTATTAACTACCGACGACGCGGTAATAAGTGATGAGCTAAATCATGCGTCTATTATTGATGGGATACGATTGTGCAAAGCAAAAAGATACAGGTAAATTTTGTTAAGATTAGTCAACCAAATTTTTCGGTTACTGTTGATTCGATCTGTTAAGCTATTCTCTTTTCATTCGCAATTTCAAGATATAAACACAGAGATATGACGGATTTGGAGAATAAACTTCAAGAAAATAAGTCAGCACGATTGCGTCTTATTGCAACTGATGGAGTATTTTCTATGGATGGTACTGTTGCACCATTATCGAAAATAATCGAGCTTGCAAAAAAATATGACGCTATCACATTCGTAGACGATTGCCATGCCACTGGATTTTTTGGTAAAACCGGCAGGTATCTGCAAAATCTCACATCTGCTTACGATTGATATTGTTCTCCGATTTAATTTCATTTAATTTCATTGCGATTCAGAGGTACAGAAGAATATTTTGATCATCTGGGAGACATTGACATCATTAATTCTACGTTAGGAAAGGCTCTTGGAGGAGCGGCAGGTGGTTATACGACTAGTAAAAAAGAGATTGTAAGTTTGCTAAGACAAAGAAGTAGACCATATCTGTTCTCAAATTCAATACCTCCATCTGTAGTTGCATCGGCAATTAAGGTAAAGTGTTGTGTATCATATAACTTATATATATAATTACTCAGCGTTCCTGTAAACAGTATGCATTATCTTAAAACATTGAAACATTTATAATTTAAATTAACATAACGTTACTAGTAGGTGATGGATCTTGTAATGGATAACACAAAGTTTTTGAATCGTTTAGCAAGCAATACTAAGCATTTCAGAAATGCGATGACCATGGCTGGCTTCACTATTAGTGGCGATAATCACCCTATTTGTCCTGTGATGTTAGGTGATGCAAAATTAGCAACAACATTTGCTGATAAAATGATGGGTATGTATATATTTTCATATAAATTATAAAATCTTTTCATATAAATTATAGAGTCTAAAGGAATAAACTATCAATGACAAAATATACAACAGCTATCATGTTGTGTTATTAAAGTTTTATAATTTATTCTGTCACATTGTACGAAAATGGTTTTTATAGAAAAAGGAATTTACGTCATTGGATTCAGCTATCCTGTAGTACCAAAAGATAAAGCAAGAATACGTGTTCAGATTAGCGCAGCGCATTCGACTGAAGATATAGATCGTGCTGTGAATGCTTTCATACAAATTGGAAAAGAACTTGCGGTAATTTAATAAATATATTTTTGATAACAGCATCGATAAGAATATCTCGTTGGTAACAATACAGAAAAACTGAATGATTGATTTCAATATGCTAAATGATAAGTTTCAGTTTCTCCAATATGCATTCTGTTTCATTATATAAATAAATAAATCGTAATTTTAATGCTATGTGTTTAAACTGATTTGTATTATACAAATTAGATATTGCAAATATATAGTGCATGCGAATGTAACATTGAATTTATTAACATGTGCAATAACAAATATTTTAATCGAGCAGTATATTAAAGGTGTACCTTTTTTTATACAAATTTCCAACGCGCGAGGTTGCAAGTGTATAAAAACCTTGAATTAAGTGTAAAGTGTTATATTGTTATTAAACATTTATTACATAAATGCTAAGGTTTGTACGGTCTAACGAGATTTTCCGAAAATTCCCTGACCTGTTGAACTCCTCGTACTTCCCTTTCTAATAACGGAAGCTTTGTAACGTGAAAATCCTCGTAAAGATCCATTATCTTAAAAGGAAAAAAACATTTAATTTATCTTTCGAGAATTTTATCTTGTACTTTACCTGATTTGTGGTTTGACAAAATGATAAATATAAAATATTATTAAAATTTAAAAAAAAACTTCAAAAATAATAAATTTCAATAATATCACTCGTAAATACAACATTAGTTACCTGATCTAAATATTTATCTTGAATTTTATGCCTTGCAAGACACAGCCGACAGGGAGTATCTCCTTCTTTTAAAAATAATAGTTGGTTCACTACAATATTATGGGTATCAATACCATATTTTGTTAATTCTTGTACAAGTCGTTCTGTCTCATAAAGCGACAAAAATTCTGCTATGCAAACACATATAAAAGTCGTTTGATCAGGATTTCTAAACTGTTCGTTAACTTGCTGAATGACTGCAAGCATATCTTCCATTTTACTAGAGAATGTATCCACATTAAAATCCGTTAATCCCAACAATGAACTTATCTATAATAGAAAAATCTTTTTTCAATTTAAATAATACAGGAACAATATTTGATATACTTGATAAATATATATACTTGATTAAGTGTATATTAATTTTTTTTAGATCAAATAATGGACTAATTCTAACTTGTGTGATAAAGGGACTAATCTTCATTTTTAAACGCATCAATTTTCCCAATCCTTTTTCAATCACTTGTGGAAACGATAGTAGCCTTAACGTATGCCCAGTAGGTGCAGTATCAAACACCACAACAGAAAAATTCATTCCTTTTACAAGCCTAGAATCATTATATAAGAATATCAAAATAAAAAACGAAAATAGAAAATAGATTTCAGATGTATCTGTGATTTTAGTTCACTACAAAGAGAGCTTATTATATTATTAGTTTCATAAAAATTGAGAAATATTAAAACATTGTAAATTTACTTCATAACTTCCGCATAACTCATTGCCTCATCTATACCAGGAAATGCACTGACAATTTCATGCATAACATTTTTACTTAATTTCATTGCTTCTCCTCCTGAAACTGTACATGATATGTCTAATGTATTTAATATAATAGACACTATATAACTATAATATGTGTATAACATAGTAGAAAATTTCTTTAAAACTTTGCAAGTAATATATTATTTCTTTTACTTCAACTGCATAGCAATTATTGCAATAGTTATTACTATATATCATTTTATTTATGTATTAATTTTAATTATATATTTTATATATTTTGTTCCAATATTTGATAAATTATGTTTTTATTATTCATAATTCTTAACAAAACTGTTTATCTAAAATGACTTATAGATGTTGGACCGAAGTAAAAGTGTTTCAAAGACAAACCTGTTTCACTGTCAAAATATTCTTCTGGTAATTCTGTAATGCCAACATTAGGGTCGACCTCCATTGCAAATAAATTATCAAAACTTTTCACCTTAGTAGGTACTTTGCTAAATTTCTGATCAAATGCATCAGAAATATTGTGCGCTGGATCTGTAGATATAATAAGTACACTTTCCCTAACTTTGGACAGCTGTACTGCCAGGGAACAACTGCAAAACAAAGATTTAGATTAGTCTAACTTTTTTATTTAAAGAGCAGCAGATATATCTTAGATACATAGTACAAAAACATTTATTACTTTATTATAAGAGAAATCCATAAAAAAGTAATCAAATTTAAAGAAAAATCTAATTGATTTATTGCAGAATATTTTTCATAATTTTATAAAAAAAAGAAGAGGTTTATAAGAATATTT